AAAAAAAAAAAAAAAAAAACGCAGCATTAGCGAGTTGGCGCGACGTGAGATGCGCTCGACGAAATAGAAAAGAGAGGAGGATGATATCGCGGTGTCTCTAACGGTATATTGACCTCCGCGATGCCGATTGCCGTAAACACATATTCTATATCTCGCACGTGACTGCTTTACTCGTCGAGTTTCTCATGTCGCGACGATTCTAGTAGCCTTCGTACGTACGTCGTTCGAACGTGCGAATTTTTGGTCGATTTCGTAGACGATCCGGTGGCTCGATTTTCAATCGTGAGGGGAAAGAGTAGAGAAAAGACGGAATCGAATGGAGAGAATTCGGCCAACAACAACGACGACGAGCGAAAAGGGACGAAAAATCGTAAATTTTTTCGGTGGAAGAAGTTGCTCGCGTTATCGTTTGTTCGCGAAACTCGGCTGGAAAGGGGCTGCTGCTGGCAGGTTGAAGCAGAGAGGCAACCGCGACGAAGATACGTGTTCCACGTAGCGAAACAGGCTCTCCTCAAGACTCGCCGGGTCGTTTCTCCTTCGGCCAACGACCGTCTCTCTACCTTTGGTTTCAACGCCGCTCCCTTTACGCCTCTAAATGTAAATGTAATACCTTCGAACTAAGTCCGTACGTACGAATTGTATGCGCATCCTCCTTTCGAATAAGCGAGCATCGCTCTAAAACGAGCGATGTCGCTGTGAAAAAAAAAAGGAAAAGAGAGAGAGAGAGAAAGAAACGAGAAATGCACAGTGGCTCCAATATCGTAAACTGAAGTTCGCGAGTGAAAATACGAGTATGATCAAGGTATTTTTAACGGTGTTTGCAACAAACTAGATGGCACTATAATTTCTGCGTGGTAACAAAAGTAACTCGTTTGTATTAGGACATGGAAGTATGTGTTTGTATCGTAAAACGAATTAACAAGAGTTAAATTCTTGCGATCAATGAAGCTTTATCGAAGTGATAGAAAGATTGATTAGAATGTTACGATAATATTTTTTTATCTATCTGTATTTCGTCATGTACTAAAAAAAAAAAAAAAATTGCATTAATTATTAAGATAAAAGAAAAAACATTCGTAATTTTAACAAATTTTGAAAGAAAAGCAAGAGACAAAAAAAGAAAGTTATCATCAATTATAATCTTTTTTATAAAATGAACACAATGAAATAATACAATTTTGTAATAAAGTATGATTTAAAGTGGAACAATTGAAAAATTGTTTCGTTTCGTTGTAACTTATTTCAATTTTAGAGCAAACGAGCACTTAGTCCGCTCGTGTGTCGAGTATACTCGTCGCAGTCGGAGTAAAAATAATTAAACACACAAGTGCACACGTTTGTCTGAAATGTGAAATAAAAACACTTGGTTGGGATTTACTTAGCAACGCTAAACTGTAATCGAATATTTCAGATTGCCTGAAATGCAAGTTTAAATATGGAAAATTACGACGAGGAGATACGTAGAGGATAGTTCCATCTGACGATGATCGACAAGGTTTGCGCGTAGTGTCCGCCGAAATTGAAGGAAATTGAAAGGAAAACGAGAGAAAACGAAGGAGAGCGAGAGGGTGTAGTGCATTTCATTAGGATACGTAGAAACGACGAGGGCAATCAAATGTGAAGTTGAAACAACGAGAATAACGTTTTTCGTGGAAGAAGGAGATCAAGAAACGAGCCGAGGAGCTTTTGAAAAGACGAGAAAAGACCGGTTTCACTCGCGTTCCCGTCACGGTATTCATAGGTGCACGAGCACAAAAGTGTATTAGAATGACATGGTTGATAAAAGCGTACGTAGAAAGAGAGTACGTGCACGGCTTAAGCGCGGACTTTACATACATATAAAGGGGTTACGTGTTGTGCAGAGTTCAAATGTAAAATGATTCATTTCAGTATTTGCAACAATATTTTCTGCCTGCCTTATCGGCAGTTTTCCATACCGTCTCTACGAAGATAATCTTTCCCCACTGTCTTATACTCGTTGGAGTGCCGTCGCGACGGATGCAATGCTCGCTGGCAACGAAACCCTTTCTTCTCCTCTCGCCATAATTCTCTCGTGAGATCCAACACGCAACGAACGCCGTGTTGTATTTCTCCAAGACACACCGTACTCACATCTTAATACGCGACTCCGTCTTGAAACTGCATTCGGTAGGCCCGGTATTCGATGTTTCGACGAGAAGAGAACCGCGTCAGCTCTTTAGCCGATGTTACTCTCGATCTCTGATATTTCACTGTGTATTCCACTCACTCTCACCACCGCGCTCCCCTCGGCCCCGACGAACAAGATCGACAATATACACGGCCGAGTTACAGACCTAACAGCTCTACCAGCTTATCGTCCCGAGTCCCGGCCAGTTCTCGATGTCCCTTTTCCGCGTCGAGCACTCCTCGCCTCTCAGTTCGGTTTCGCCGTCGAATTCCGGTGGCCAACGCCGGATTTCTTTCTCCACCTCGATCACCAAGGGATCACCTGCCTTGGTAAAATCGCGCGATACTTTCCAACAGGCACGTACGAACCGTGAAAATCGTGAAAACGATCAGATATTGACAAATACGTCGCGGCGTCGCGACACTGTTCGACTAAATTTCACACGGCCACCAGCTGGCGCCACGTTGCGATCCCTCGCGTCTTTTAATTCCTAAAAATATTCCCACTCTGCGAACAACGAATAATGCATATTTTACGTTCAGGACTTTCCTCTGTGATAGTAGGCATTTACGCTGATATATATATATATATATATATATATATATATATCGCGTGGATATTAATATTTTCTAAAATGTCATTTCTGTTAATCTGTTGCTTCTCTTAATGAAAAATAAAACGAGCGCACGTGGTGGGTCGATACATCCGAGTCAGTTTGATTTAAACTTTATGCCCTGACTCGCTTCTACTTGTTCAAAATAATTTATGATATGATATACTTTTATGTACTCTACTCTTATCTACTCTAATCTTAATGAAAAATTAGAATTTCTAATAAACTGTTTTATTATTTATCGTTTGTAAGAATAAATGCGGTATTTTAATTCTTGTAACGTAATTTAAATTATTAAAGTTGGTAATTTCATAAATTTCTAATTTTTAACTTTCACATTAAATTTACACACAATTTATATTATTGTAATGTTTGTTTATAATATAATTTATATCTTTTCTATATTTTTATATGGAAAATTAACCTTCTGATAAATTTACACGATACAAAATTAACAGAATTTACGTAAAATTGTTTGAGTAGGAAAAAGATTACATTTTTATTTTATGATGTTATTTTATGATAATTTTATGATTCACAATAATAATAATATTTATAATACAATAATAAATATCATTTTAAGAAATATGGTGGTATTCGAATTAAACCATAAATAATATATATACTGTAATACTGTTTACTTAATATACATCATATCAGAATATTAGATATAATTATTATAAAATATATATGTAAATTCATAGACTCTTTTGTTCTTTATTTATTAAATCACATCTTTCAACTAAATATTTAAACTTTTGAACTTTTCTTGAAATGTTCACTGTAATACTTAATCTAACCTAAAATAATATTTTTATAGGATTTACTAGCTGCAAATAAATATTAGAATATAAAAATACTAAATACTTTACTTATAATATTTGTAATTCAGTACTGCATTATGGATAATATATTTGGAAAGGAAGACTCTGGAAATGAAAGCGAACATGCAGATATTGAGGAGAAGGAAGAAAAAAGTAGTCCTTCGCAAAATTCTATAACCAAAGATGTAGAATCAATGGATGTTGATAATATACATGTTAAGGTATGTTAATACAATATTATATTACAAAGATAATATATTTTAAACTTATGTATAATTCAAAATGATTGTCATTTATTTATTCATTTATTTGTAATATTAGGAAGAATTTGATGCGATGAGTTCACAGTCTCAATCAGATGGAGAAGAAGTAGGATCAAACTTATCATGTACCGTAGTAGAAGATCAATTAGAAATTGTTAAACATGAGATTGAGAGTAGAGAGGAAGAACAAACTACAGAAGATATATTTGAAAATGACATAGTATTACCTCATGCAAATCCAACAAATGTTAAAGAAAGAAGAGAAAGTAAAGAGAAAAGTAAAAAAGAATTGGAAGAGGAAGAAAGAGAAAAGATGCAGTATATATTTAAATATTTTGATTATATATTATTTTATAACATTTATATTTTGTTACATGTAATTTAATATATTATTTTATAATTTGTTTCTTAACAGAGTACTAGTGTCAAATTTTACAGAAGATCAATTGGATAGATATGAAATGTATAGAAGAGCTGCTTTTCCAAAAGCGGCAATAAAAAGAGTAATTATCTTTATTGTACATTTTTTATAATACTATATTTTTTTTTAAACATATTTTATAAATTGCGTTCTATATTACAGATCATGCAAACTATAACAGGTTGTTCAGTGTCACAGAATGTGGTCATTGCTATGTCTGGTATTGCAAAAGTATTTGTTGGAGAAATAGTAGAAGGAGGTGAGATGATACTTAAATCTTCTATTAGAATTTTTAATCAATTAGTAGCATTTCTTTTAATTCAAATATGATTCTTAAATTAGCCCTTGATGTTATGGAAGATCATCAAGAATCAGGGCCATTACAACCAAAACATTTAAGAGAAGCAGTTAGAAGATTAAGACTACAAGGGCAAATTCCAAATGGTCGTGCACATAAAGCATTTTTCCGACTATGAATATTCTTTAGCATAATTATTTGAAACTGTGATTTAAAACAAATATTTCCAATAGAGTCAAAAAGTTAAGTCAATATTTTTATATAAAATAATGTTTTATATAAAAAAATATATAATACATCAATATTCATAAAAAGTTATTAAATTACAATAAAATATCTTGAAAGAAATTATAAGAATAGAAACAAATCCAGATATCTGTATCTTGCACATATATAGATATATAATTAAAAAAATAAAACAAATTTAATTAATTAATTTTTCTTATAAGTATCAGTTTTGTTTGAACAGTTTTTAATTTCATCTCTCTTTGTCTCTCTGTGTATCTCTGTCATATATTTCTTGATATTATTAATAGAATTTTATTATAATTACGATTAATATATTTATTTAAACTATTTTCTAGTTACAAAGTGGATAAGTAATTACAAAAAAATTATTCAAATACAATATGAAATAGACTAATATGAATTATTACATTATTTTTGTATTTTTATATCACAATTAGTCATAAAATTTTTATTAAGTATTTATTTCTATGAATATATTTGCATCATTTAGCTTTTGAATATTAATGAATATTTATAATATTAAGCATATAATAATAGCATCACATCACTATTTTCAGACTTTTATTTAAATTTTTATTCTTTTATTTTAAACTTATATTTATATACTTATAAAGTTATAAGAAATAATTGATACTCAATTATTTTATTGTAAATATATGTATATATATGTAAGTACAAATATCATATATGCTGCAGATGCAAGTGAAGCTGTCAAATAAAATGTGCTTTATTTCATTATTTATACAATTACTTCTAACCAATTTAACCTATTAATATATAAATCTGATTTCATTCAAAACTTGGAGAAAGATTTATATGATATGCGTTTATTACTTATGTTGTTATTAGCGTGTATTATTTTAAAAACATCTGATAATGGAGTTAAATTTGGAAAACTGTACGCCTCCAAATTGAAAAAAAATACTCTAATGTTTAATTTACCTTTGGATGCTAATGTAATTGATAAATGGTACATTGAAACACTTCTTGTATAATATTTTTGTGCATTGAATCAAAATTATATCAAGTTTCATATTTAAGCATATTTCATAATCATTTATTATTATACTGGTTATGAGAATTAATATTAAGTTTATGAAACTAGTACAAATAATCAAGAAGTTAATCCTTTTTCTGCTGAATTAAATTCCTTACAAAAAATTCGGACAAACATTAAAAAGAAAATTATTCCACGGTTTTTCGGATTTAATAATGAAAAATACAAATGTATCAAAGTTAGTTATTTAAATAAATATTGTTATTCATTTTAATATAATTTGAAATAAATATTCACTTACATATTACATTGGATCAAGTTGGATCAATTAATATCAGAATGGCATAGTCGACTTTACTGTAAAACTTCATCAAATCATCGGCGCAAATTACTTAGTTATTTAAATAAACCACTTTATGAAAATTCTATAAAAAGTACGCAACCACATGAAGAAGAACAAAATAACTTAAAGGAAATAGGAAATCTTACTGACAATAGTAAGTAAACAACACTTTCTGGTTAATAATCATTTATCTAAAATACACATTTAAACATATTTAATTAAAAAATTATATTTATTATTTTGTTGTTAAATAAGTCATTGTTGGTAGTAAAATAAATCATTTTTTAAATATTATAGATAATGAATTGTGGGATGACTGGAGCAGTTGGAGTACGTGCAGTGTAACATGCGGAAGTGGTCGTCGAGTTCGTTGGCGTCATTGTTCAGCAGAACATTGCATAAAAGGGTTGAAGAGAGCACAAATAAAACCATGTCATTTAAAAAAATGTGACACTAAAAATGTTCTTCACTGGCTTGGTGTTAAAACTAAATAATAAAATTAAAAAGAGAAAATCTATTGTCATATTTTGGATAGAAAAGGGAACATAAAATTTGAACTTTAACTCTAGATTGAATTAAAATGAAACTTTTTTTTCGAAAATTTCCTATTTAACTTTATTCCCTAATTTCATTTTCTCATATGTATTTTAATTATTGGAATAGTTTGAACAAGATTATCAAAGTATTTCGTTCATTGATAGATAATTTCAGTCTATAAAAAGTATTGCGTGAAATTAATAAAGCAGTAATGCAAATTATGTTATATAATTTGGTAAAATCGTTTATTAAATCATTTATCATTATATTTATTTTTGTGGAATGTTTACCAATTTTTCAGTCTGAAAGTCATTTAAGTAATACTGTATTAATTCCTTACAAACAATCACTTCCCTCACAAAAGGAAAATTTCCATCGTACAGCGGAAAGATCCGCTATTACAAATAACGATAACGATGAAGAGGGAAAAAATGAACAAAAAGGTATAGCTAATAAGCAATTAATTTACTGTTTTTATTGTTATTCGATATAACTTCTTATTTAGATATATGATGTTTGTTTTTATCGAAAATATTATTTTTAAAACTTTATAAAAGGTATTAAATTATTAAGGACCAACCTTATTACGATATAATGTCGATGTAAGTATAATGTCTTTGATACATATAGTCGATTTCTATAAAATATAGTAAAGTGAAATAATTTATTATACTAATACACATTTTTTCCTTGATAAAACAAAATGTAAGTTGCTTTGTTTAACTTTTTAATAATACATTTCTAATAATTCCAAATTTTATTTCTTATATTTCGTTCAGTAATTGTGCTTGTAATGATTGTCGTATCAAAAGAATTTTTATAAAATTATATTTCGTTATTCTTATGTCAAGTTTATTCTGAATTTTGCAACATATATAGGAAATATGAATGTAATTTATAGTAATTTTATATTAATATTTTTATTTGAAAATGAAATTTTAATGATAGGTAGAATGAACCGTCAAGGACCAAAAATATGGGATCAATGGGGAAACTGGTCAAGCTGTAGTGTTACTTGTGGTATAGGAAAATTAACGAGATGGAGACATTGTATAGGTGGAAGTTGTTTATTAGGTGAAAAGAAAGCACAATTAAGGACTTGTACTCATGCAGCATGTTGATGATCCGACAGTGAATCATGTATTTTCCAATATTACAAAATTAGTGAAATATATTAAATTCAGACAATGGTAACTATTTTAGGATTGTAAGTTTTTTTAGTGTTATTCAGTCAATATAAATTCAATCTATTGTTTTATTCGATTCATCAATGAATATATTTATTATTTACATTTTATGTCATCTCTGAAAACAATTGTTGATAAACATGTACTAAAATAGATTTATTTTATATTTTCAGAAAGATATGAAATTCATATAATATTACACACCTTTTAAATATTTCTTCAATGTGTAGCATATATTAATGTATGAAAATAATTGACAAATCTATTATTTCTCCTGGAAATTAAATCTATTATTCACCTTTAAAGTAGTCATTAGTTCTGTAAATCGTTGGAGGTTCATACATTGATGATTTATTTGATACCGCAGGTTCTTGAGTTTTCTTCTGAAATATGTACGTATATACCATAGTTCAGGTAATTGTTATCAACATTATAAAAGTAAGAAGACTTACAAAAAAAGATAAACGATTTAACATTCCAAATAATCTATCAGATATTCCTAATTCAGCTTCTGCATTATCAACGGCAGCTTCTAATGTCGTTAGATTTACATTAATCATTGCTATAACATGTTCTAAAGCATCTACTCGTTTGTTAAGATTTATTACTTCTTGTTGCATATCTTGTAATTTCGGAATATGTTGGTCAATACATTGGCTATTTTCAGCTTGAACCTTTTAACACAAATTTACGTATATATATAACATAAAGTATATATTATTTTTGTTGAAAATTTAGCGTTAGTTTACGTTTCTTGTTTCTAACCATTTCAATAATTGATTGAAATTCTTCTAAACGCATCATTACATCTTCGATTGTATCATAGAAAATCTTCATCTGAAATGTAATATTACATTTTTATCACATGTCTCACTTTACAAGATATAAGAAAATATTCCTTCATAATACTTGAGATTTGATTGAGGTTATAAACAGTATAGTACATACGTGAGTAGATAAATCTACTTTTAAATAATTTGCATAGTCTTTAGCTAATTCTTCAACAATCGGCTCAGTATGCGAAGACATTTTGCTTTTTTATAACAATTTATTGAAATGCTGTTGTTCATTTATTGTTCACATTGTTTGCTACTGAAACGTCACTTTAAGTACCTCGTCTGTGATAAACGTACTACATTTAAAAGAGCTAATTTCCTATTTTGCAAAATGTATTAAAGTTGCAAAAAGATATATATTATACAAGATACAGTGAATTAAATCAATGTTACATTTCTTTTTTATCTCGTACATTTATTTTTTATGCATAACATAAATAATAATATTTATATTTTCCAATATAAAATTTTATCAAATAAACTTAATAATAATTTTCATTTATACAGATTAAAATATTTTGAAATATTTATCATATTTCGTAAGTTTAACTTTTAATTTTTAAGAATGATTTTGATTTATTAAAATTGCTCAACAGAATAATTTGTTTATTTATCTCGAACAGAGATAAAGCGTGTATCGAATATTTATTGAGGAGTAACGAAGAGGGAAAGGAAGAGTAAGAATTTTCTAAAAGAGCAATGTAGAAGTCGATAAACTATAATGTGCACTGACTTTACGTAATATCTTTGCGTAACAGAAATTTTTGACGTACTTGATGCAAAAACCAGTTTTAAGGTGAAAGGGACAGATGCAATTTAATGTATTTCAAATTATATTGAAATTGTATTGTTTTGAAACTATATCGATCATATCATTATTTCTACACAAATAATTACACTTGGAATTATACCTCTTATTAATTTAATTAATTAATAACAAATTACCATATTTTTAAAATTTTTCCATAAAATTTTATTGCATAACAAAATGTTTAATATCTTTCTTGGAAATAATACTCGAATATATTCTTAACTTTACACTTTCCTTTTAAAAGGAAACTTTCCTTTTATTATTATTCAACATATGTATGTAGATATTAGAATATTTATAGAGGAATAAAATTGCGCGTATTTGAAGTTACCGAAAATTATTTAAAAATACATTAATAATTTTACATTAGTCTCAAGTTTAATTAACTTCAAATTCAATTGATGTCACAAATTCCTCGTGTACAATATAAATAGTGTATAGTGTACAATGATAAAATATAACTTTTTAAAATCAAATATCGTTGCAGGGACTTTGCAATGAAAAAATAGAAGGGGATGTTTCTTTACAATTAGATGCTTGGAGTGATAGAAATAGTGCAAGGAAAATGTAAAGAAAAAGTATAACTTGTTAAGATACCTGCAGATAGGTGGGGAGATGTTACTCCTGCTATGATTCTCAACTCCATTTACGATGAAACTCAGTGTGTTCGAACGCAGTGGTTCACGATTGTTCCTCCTGTTTTCATTTAGTTTGATCGAGCTCGTGTTGCTTCTTCGACTCTCCTTCCGATTTTATATACTGAAATATCTTTAAAGGAACTTGATTTACTTTTATTGGATTAATCTTGCTAAGTAAGTACATGCTTGTTTTATTTTTATGTCGTTGTTTTATCGTTATCAGTTCAAGAACTTTTGTTGTACAATGAACTTAATCAAATGTAATAATACTTATTGATAATAATACAGTTAAATTTAAGGATGAGTAAATAATAAAGTACAAATAAATAAAGAAAAATATATTTATAGATACATACAAATATATGTGTATATATTAAAATTGATTATGTTAAAAGTCATCATTAATATAATATAAAGCGGCTATTAATATTTTGATATTAAGATCATACATTTCAGACTATTTTTTGATTGATACATTTCAATGAACTTAATCAAATGTAATACTTCTTGCTAATAATACAGTTAAATTTAAGGATGAGTAAATAATAAAGTACAAATAAATAAAGAAAAATATATTTATAGATACATACAAATATATGTGTATATATTAAAAC